TGAAGTCCACCTTGAATTCCCCGCTGTTCCCTCTCCTTCCTTCTCTGGGTTTCCTGAGAGCAAGGGGCGTGGTTGACTCCAGCCCTGGTTCTGCTTCCTTTCCAGGGTCACTCCCCAAGCCCATCCTCAGGGCCTGGCCCAGCTCGGTGGTCCCTCCCAAGAGCAACGTGAGTCTGAGATGCTGGGCTCTGACCAGGGCTGCAGACTTTGCCTTCAGAAAGGGAGGATATCACCTGGATCCCGTACAGTCACCTGATCCTACAGAGAGCCACGCTGACTTGCTCCTCACTGATGTACAGCACAGTGATTCCGGGGAGTACACTTGTGAATACCGTGATGGACACCGGACTTCCCTGAGCAGTGATGTCCTTCTCCTTCTGGTTACAGGTGAGGAGGAGGTGTTCTGGAAGGACATGTGGTTCTCCAGTCCAAGGCCTTGCGTCTCCAGTGCCGTGTAGTGTGGGTGACGCTGAAGAGAGGCAGGTGTAGAATTTGAACCTGGGTTTTGCCCACAGCTTGTTGGGAAGGAATACTCTTCCCTGGAATTGGCAGAAGGTGAAATCCAAACCCCAGACCAAACCCACTGCCGATGAGTAGATTCCAATTCACAGCATCCCTAGAGGACGGACTGGAACTGCCCCATAGAGTTTCCAAAGCTGTAATCGTTTTGGAAGCCTACCGCCTCATCTTTCTCCCATGGAGCAGCTGGTGGGTTCAAACCACCAACCTTTCGGTTAGCAGTGGAATACTTTAACCATTGCACAACCAGGGCACCTTAAGGTGTCTTGAATTTACCCCCACTCCATGAGAACCAAGGAGCCCTGGTGCCACAGTGGTTTAATCACTTGGCTACTAACCAAATGTCCATGGGTGCAACCCACCCGCCACCCTGAGGGAGGAGGTGTAGTAGTCTGCTTCCCCCTTGGAAACCCTATAGGGTTGCCGTGGGTCAAAATGGACTTGATGGCTTCGGGTTTCTCCATGAGAACCAGGGTGATGGGCAGATCAAGTCTTCTCCCATTACCTACCTCTGCACCTTCCTTCTCTGCAGGAACTGTACCTAAACCTTCCCTTCAAGTCCACCCAGGACGTAACATGACTGCAGGGCAAAACTTGACCCTGCAGTGCCAGAAGCCAGACAGTGTCATTGGTTATGATGTTGCCCTTCTGAAGGAAGGAACTTCAGCACCCACACAGCAGCAGAAACCAGCAGGAAGTGTGGCAGAGTTCTTCCTTCAGACTGTGACCGTCAACGACACTGGGAACTACAGCTGTGTCTACTACCAGACAAAGGCCCCTTTCTGGGCCTCACGCCCCAGTGATAGCCTTGAGATCTGGGTGACAGGTAGGATTTCTGCCATGGGAGAACTATAGCTGGATTTCCTGCTGGTCCTGAGATCTGAGGAAGGGTCCTGGAGGGAGGAACTGTCCTTGAAGGCTCCAGAGCCTTGTGGGGGAATCACTTGGGAAGGACAGAGCTGGGGCCCGGATGCTGTGAAATGATGATGAGGACCTGTTGCTGAGAGAGGGGTATGTGTTGGGGAGAATCCCGTAGGACAGTTGGCTAGCAAACTGTGGAAAGTGCATGCATGCATTTGGTTTGAATAACCACAACCAGGGACTGGAATTCTACCTGGATTCTTTCCTTGCCATTACGGGGTTGCCTTCTTATGTCAACTTACTCTTTCTCACTCCACACTGGCTTCCTCTATTGGACGGGGGTATGGCTTTCAAGAACCTAGGTTCACATCTCGTAAATTACACTCCTGGAGAGGGACTGACTCTCTTTTTCAAACCCAGTTCCCAGAAATCCCAGGGAAGGTCTGTCATTGGCCATGTTCAGTTCAGGTACCAGCCTCTGGCTCCAACACAGGCAACCCTGTCTGTGGATGTTGTTTGTGGTTGGGTGCCGTTGAGTTGGTTCTGACTCATAATAACATCGCGCACAACAGAATGAAACGTCCTCACAGTCCTTGCTGTGTTGGAGCCCTTCGTTGCAGCCACCATCTCAGTCAATTGCATGGATGGTCTTCCTCTTGTTTAGCTAACCCTTTTATCGAACATGATCTTCTTCTCCAAGGACGGGTCCCTCCTGATAACACGTCCAAAGTACCTGAGATGAAGTCTCATCATTCTTCCTTCTAAGGAGCGTTATGGCTACACTTGCTCCAAGACAGACTTGTACGGTCTTCCAGCAGTCCCTGGTGTATTCGCCAACACCATAATGCAAATGTATCCATTCTTCTTCGGTTTTCCTTTTTCACTGTCCGGGTATTACATGCATATGTTGTTGTAAGGTGCCAGCGAGTCATCTCCGACTCACAGCTACCCTGTGCACAGCAGAACAAGATATTGTCCGGTCTTGTGCCAACCTCACAATCCTTTCTAGACCTGAACCCAACGTTGCAGCCACTGTGTCAATCCATCTGCTTGAAGGCCTCCCCCTCTTTTGTTGACCCTCCACTTCACCAAGCATGACATCCTCTTCCAGGGAATGGTCCCTTCTGACAACATGACCAAAGTAGGTGAGACAAAGTCTGGCCATTCATGCTTCCAAGGAGCATTCAGGTGCACTTTTTCCAGGACAGATCTGTTAGTTCTTTTAGCAGTCCATGGTACTCTTAGCATTCTTCTGCAAAACCAGAACTCAAATGCAATTGAAAATACCATGCTTGGGTCAGGCACCTGCACCTTAGTTGTCAAATTTACATCTTTGCTTTCAAAAGCATATAATTTAATGCAATTTTGTATTTATGACCCATGCTTAAAAAAAAAAGTGATTTGAGTGAAAGTTTACAGGGCAAATTGGTTTTCCATTCAACAATCCATATACTTTCTGTTCAGTGATGTTCACTGCAACCCCCACAATGTAATAGCAACTAATAACATAATAATTTACTCCAATAGTAGAAAATTGAGTTTCATAGCTCAATGCAAAGGCTGCTTAATGTCCTCTCCAGGGCCCAGTAAAATAATTGGGATGAAAGGGAACATTCAATAGCCCTAACCATTGGAAAGGGAGCTCTGGTAGCATAGTGCCTAAGGCACTTGACTGCTGACCAGAAGGCTGGCGGTTCAAACCCATCAGCCACTCCTCGGAAGGAAGATGGGGCAATCTACTTTCATAGTGATACTGCCTCAGAAACCCAAGGAGGGGTCGCTATGAGTTGGGTCTGACTCGATGGCACACAACAACAACAACAACAACAACCACTGGAAAACACTGAAAGCATCACGGACTACCAAAGAAAGAACAAGTCTGTCCTGGAAGAAGTGCAGCCAGAATGCTCCTTGGAAGTGAGAATGGCCAGACTTCGTCTCCCCTGCTCTGGATGTGTTAGCAGGAGGGCTCAGTCCCTGGAGAAGGATGTCGTGCGCTTGGCACAGCAGAGGGCAGCAGAAAAGAGGAAGACTCTCACCGAGATGGACGGACACCGTGGCTGCAACGATGTGCTCAAGCGTGGCGAGGGTTGTGAGGCCGGCACACGACCAGGCGGTGTTTCGTTCGTATGTAAGGTCACTATGAGCTGGACCTGACTTGATGGCACCTAACAACAACAACGACGATGATGACAATATTTGAACAGAGGATGAGCACCTAACAGTAGAGGATGCTCAAGCAAATGGGGGATGACCCCAGTGTCCGGAGAAGGGGGATGACCCCAGTGTCCGGAGAAGGGACATGACCCCAGTGTCCGGAGAAGGGGATGACCCCAGTGTCCGGAGAAGGGACATGACCCCAGTGTCCGGAGAAGGGGGGTGACCTCAGTGTCTGGAGAAGGAGGATGACCCCAGTGTCCGGAGAAGGGGGTGACCCCAGTATACAGAAGGTTGGGAGGAATTTCTGTTTTGAAGATAATCGTAACAGTTTAGATTTCACTTGGCCCCAGAGCCTTAGTTCTTAGGGCTGCCATAACAACATCCCTCAAAGAGCAGACATTTATTGTCTCAGAGTTTTGGAGGCTGGGGGCCCGAGGTCAGGGCGCTGGGGGCAGGTGCGGGTGCTCTGTGTCCACAGACAAGGTGGATGGCTATAATCCCAATGGAGGAGAAGGAGGGAGGAGTTCCTGATAGTCACCTCCTTCCTTATTTTCCTTTGGCTGTTGGTTCTCACACAGGCCTGGTTTTGCCTCCTGGCCACACTTGGCGATGCCTGGAGACATTCTTGGTACCACAACAAAAGTGGGTGCTCCTGGGTCCTGGAGAGAGTGGGAGAATGATGTGGAACACAACTCAAAATCCTAAAAAAAAGACCAGGTTCACTGGGCTGATAGAGCCCGGTGAGACCCCCAAGACTATGGCCCTTAGTTACCCTTCAGGTCTGGAACTGAACCCACTTCTGTGGCTTCCAGTCAAACCATAGCCAGGCCCATGGGGCGAACATTTACATCAGGCAGGTACACTCCTTAGATCACTCAATCGTGGGAGAACAGAAGGGCAGTGCTCACACAGGGAGCTAGCTCAGGGGGCAGGAATGCATAAGAAGGAAGGACCAGGGAAGAGGTGACAGGGAGGACATGGGCAGAGAGCTGTTGCATTGTGGGGAACTGCAGTCAATGTCATGAAACAAAATGGGTATGAACTGCTGTGTGGAAAGTGAGTTTGCTCCATAAACTTTCATACAAGTCACACACACACACACACACAAGTGAGTGCTCGTGGCACCTGATGGGTAGAGACAGGGATGGCACTCAGCATCTTATCCTGCACAACTTAGCACCCTCCTCGCCCATCGATATGGTCCAGCTTCAAATGCAGTAGTTTGGAGGCTGACCCACTCTGCTGTTGTGAACTGAATCGTGTTTTCCCCAAATATATGCTAAAATCCTGATCTCTGCAATGTGGAGGTCAGGAGCTCCAATGGTATAAAGGCCAAGCTCTTGGCTGCTAACCAAAAAGTCAGTGGTTCAAATCCACCAGCTGCTCTTTGGGAGGAAGATCTGCAGGTTTGCTCGCATGAAGATTACAGCCTAGGAAACCCTGTGGGGCAGCTCTAGCCTGTCACATGGGTCACTGAGTCCGAATCGAGGGCACCTGGTGACAAGAACATGCTGTGGAAGTGATCCTGCTTGGGGATAAGTGTGGAAGTGATCCTGTTTGGGAAAAGGACGTGGAAGTGATCGTGTCGGGGACAGGATCTTCTCAGTTGTGTTAATGAGGTCGTATGGGTGTAAGGAGGGTCCTACACCCAATCACTCTGCGTTCAGGTGCCGAACAGGCAGACAAGCCAACACAGAGTGTGAGATAATATCATGTTAAGGCCCCCGAGGAACCAAGGGACGCTGGGGCCACGGAGCAGCCTCAGAGAGAGAGAGAGCCTTCCCTGTAGATGATGCCCTGAATACGAATGTCTGGCCTCCTCAACTGAGGAAATACATTTCTGTTCTTCCAAGCCACCCACCTGGGTAGTTTCTACTACAGCAGCATGGAGATGGTAAGATGCCTACTTCAGACCCACAGTCTAATTTCTTCTTAGACATGAGTTCTCCGTAGGGCTTTGAAAGGTGGGAACCATACTCTTCTTCCAATCCCTGAAGCTTCTAATTACTTAAAACTTATCCCCAACCCAGTAGCCATTCAAGGTATATTTCATAATGACACTGGTTACCTAACTTGGCGTCATCAGGCTTCCTTTAAGGTCATGCATTTTAGTCCCGTATTCCCATGTTCAATTTGTTTCCCAGTCTGATGCCTTCAGAGCCAGACTCGAGGAATATTAGTTCATGGGGTTCCTCATAACTTCTGAGCTTTGACCAAGGTCTGTGTGGTCTCTGAGTAGGAAAGAGCAGCTGTTAGAGGGCTGCATGGAGAGGAGGAGGCTACAGTAAAAATAGCACTCCACTTCCTGATTGTGGACATGAGAGGGTAGGGCAGAGAAGTGAAGAATGGGTTGTGTCTGGACACCACAGGGAGCAGAGGAAATACGTGGTGGGAAGTCAGTTGTAACTTTACTGGTCTTGTTTTCTTCTGCAGGAGGGAGGGGGTCTTCAGAAACTCTAAACCAGTTGGAGTTCCCAAAACAGCAATGAGTCAATTCCGACTCTCAGAAGAAACTGAGCCCATAATAAGATTAACCTATGAGATTAGATTTATTCAGGCAGAAGTTTCCAGAATCAAGTTTCCACAATCAAACCACAGGTGGAGAAGTACTTCACCAACTACCAGCAGAAATTAGCTTCTAGTGACAAAATGCAGAAGCAAAAGCTTTTTATTTTTCTGATCGACTTATTCAATATATTGTCGAAACACTGTCAAAATCTCGTTGGTCAGTGAGGGTGGTCTGGTTTATGGGAAACCTAGGCTGGAGTCTTCGTACAGACAAGTCTCAGGGATGTTGTCAAGTGGACCACCGACACTATTTTGTCACCACACGACTTCATTATTTTCATTTCGATTAACATGACTGATGGCGACCCCACGTCTGTCAGAGTGAAACTGTGCTCCAAGGCCGTGTAAATGGCTGACTCTGGCAGTAGACCACTAGGTCATTGTCCTGAAGCACTTCTGGGAGACTTCAACTTCTAACTTTCCACTTAGCGACCAAGCACATCAAATATTTCCCTCACCCAGAGACCCCTCGGACGGTCTGAGGAGTCCACGTTTTCTGCTTTGGAAGAGTGCAAAACACTGGGCCAACACCCCTGTGCGTGGTGAGACTTCAGGTGTATTATAGTCACAGCCACCCCGACGAGATCCAAAGGACAGCATTTGCCCGGGAATAAAACTCAGCGGGCGGGAAGGGATGGGGAAGAAGGAGGAAGGAAAACGGTAACCACGGCGAGGAAGCAGGAAGAGAGCTGTTATGTTTTGGAGACTACAGTCAATGTCACAAGTCAAAACGAGCGGGAATTGTTGAGTGGAAAACCAAGTTGCAATATAAACTTTCACCCTAATCACAATAAAATGGTAAAAAACAACAACAAAAAAGTATTGTGGTGACAATTACATCAGCATCGCTTAACGGTTAAAAACGTTTGCCGCTGGGTCAGCTCCAATCTAGGGCGCCCCCAGGTGGGTTGGAGGACAACTGCTCTCCAAAGGGTTTTTAACGGCAGATTTTCCAGAAGGCGATAACCAGGTCTTTCTTGTGAGGTCCCTCTGGGGCCTCAAATCTCCAGCCTTTTGGTCAGCAGCCGAGCGTGTGAAGGGATTGCACCACCCCGGGCCTCCGTGTATTGATTAAGAGGAGAGAACCAAAGCCCGACTCTGCGGCTCACTAGCTGAGTGACCTCAGGGAAGTCACGTGACCTCTTCATGCTCCAGTTTCCTCAGCTGCTTTAAAAACGAAACAAACGCCTTTGCTCTGTGCTGACCTCTCTGTGCAGTGAGGGTTGAAAAAGGAGGAAGAACTAACTCTTTGATTGCAGCCTTCATGAATCTCCTATTTCTCCCATTTCCCCCAAATAGTTAGCACTTCCTTCCCTGAGTTCGCCGTTCACATGACTGTGGGAAACCCGTGGGTGGTGTGAACGGTTGATTCACATGGTCAGCTGCTCACCCAAAGGCTGGAGGTTCGAGCCCAGCCAGTGTGCCTCAGAAGAATGGCCTGGCATCTGCTTCCAAAGAATGAGCCACTGGGAGCTGTATGGAGAGCAGTTCTGCTCTGAGACGTGTGTGGCCGCCATATTGTTGTTGTCCTTAGGTGTTTTCAAGTCAGCTCTAACTCATAGTGACCTTATCTACAACGGAACGAAACACTGCCCGGTTGTGCCCCATCTTCACAATTGTTGCCATACTCAAGCCCATCGTTGCAGCCGCTGAGTCAATCCATCCCATTGAGGGCCTTCCCTTTTGCACTGATCCTCTACTTCACCAAGCATGATGTCCTTCTCCAGGGACCGGTCCCTCATACCATGACCTTCCATGGCTTCTGAGGAGCGTTCTGGCTGAACTTCCTCTAACAGATTTGTCCGTTCTTCTGGCAGTCCATGGTATTTTCAGTCTTCTTCACCCCCACCGTCATTCAGAGGCGTCAACTCTTCTTCGGTCTTCCTTATTCATTGTCCAGCTTTCACATGCGTATGAAGCGACTGAAAACACCATGGCTTGGGTCAGGTGCACCTTAGTCTTCAAAGTGACATCTTTGTTCCTCAGAGGAGGTCTCATGCATCAGATTTGCCCCATGCACTACAATGTCTGATTTCTTGATCCACCAGCCACTCCTCGGAAGGAAGGTTGGGCAATCTACTTCCGTAGCGATACTACCTCAGAAACCCAAGAAGGGGTCGCTATGAGTTGGGTCCGACGCAAGGGCACATAACAACAACAAGAAGCTTCCATGAATGTTAATTGTGGATCCAAGTGAAATGAAATCTTTGACAACTTCAATCTTTTCTCCACTTATCATGATGTTCCTTATTGGTCCAGTTGTGAGGATTTTTACTCTCTGTATGTTGAGGCATAATCCATGCTGAAGGCTGTAGTCTTTGATCTTTGACTTCCACTATAAAGGTAAGGTTTTGTGAACAATTTAGAGAGTTTTAAAAATTATATGAGTTCTGTAATATGACGGTTGCTCTGCATCTTAATGTATTTTGCCAAACAATTCTGCCTTCTAGATAAAACACGAGGAAAAGAGCCCCTTCCGACAACAGGAACAGGACTAGGTAAGAACCTCTGGACATGGTGTTAGCTGCCATCCAATCGATTCAGAATCATGACAACACCATGGGACAAAGAACTGCCCAGTAGGGTTTCCAAGGCTGTAATCATTATGGGAAGGAGCTGTGGTGGTGCAGTGCCTAAGACATTTGACTGCTAACCAAAAGGTTGGTGGTTCAAGCCTACCAGCCACTCTGAGGAAGGAAGATGGGGCAATCTACTTCAGTAAAGATTTACTGCCTTGGAAACCCAGTGGGAGTTGCTATGAGTTGGAATTGATTCAATGGCAATGGGTTTGGTTTGCTTTTAATCTTTATGGTCTTTCTCCCACAGAGCCAGGGGATGGGTTTGAACCATTGACCTTATGGTTAGTAGTGGAAAGTTCAAGCACTGTGTCAGCAGGGCTCCTTTTCCCAAGACAGAGCCATTCAAACATGGGATGAGGCTTCCTTGTGGGACAATCCCTAGGGATGTATGACTTTTGTTGATACCTTTAACTGTGGTTAAAAACAAGGCCTTTAGAGGTGGAGAGGGCTCTGGAGTACAGCAATTAAGCACTCGGCTGCTATCCGAAAGGTTGATGGTTCAAATTCACCAGCTGCTCCACAGGAGAAAGATGTGGCAGCCTGCTTCCATGAAGACTGA